GCGGGAGGCCTGGGGCTGTGCCGGCCGGTGTGATGGGGAAACTGAGGCAGGGGCCGAGTCTGGCCGGCGGAGTGTAGGTGTGGGCCAGGGCAGGGACCGTGCTGTGGAGGAGGCTGGAGAGCTGGGTGCGGCCCGGGCACCCTGTGGGGTTTTGTGGCTGAGGGCCATCGTGCTGGCAGCTCAGCCAAGAGAGAGTGCGGAGGAGCCCAGCCTGGGGAATGGGTTGGCTGTGGGCCTATGTGTGCTGGGAGTGGAGTCGTGTGAGACTTCAGGCCAAAGGTGTCTCGCAGGAGGTGGGAGGGCTGGATGTCCTGCTTGTGTGTGGCTTAGCACTTAAGGACTTGGGGGAGGTTAAGGATATAGGGGAGCTAGATTCAGGTTGTGGAAATGAAGAGAGTCGACAGAGAGAGGTGAGGAAACTGTGACTGGAAGTTCTGGTGCCATGCAAAAGGTGTGTGCTTTTTGTGACTGGCATAAAAGCTTAACTTTGAGGCTTAAGACCTCGGATAACCCTGGAGGGAACTTGGAGGCTGGAGTGTCTGTGAGAGTGAAAGTTGGAGGCTGTGTGGCTCGGTCCTACAGGAAATGTGGAAATGCTGGTTGTGGGAGCTTAAACTGGGCCAGACATGTAGCTGGAGTAGGTGGTGGTGGTGAGGTGTGTTCAACCTGCAAAAACCTGGCTAGAGAGATGGGCTTACATGGTTTAGAGAACCAGAAGAAATTGACTTTGATGCTCCAGCTTGCATGGCTGAGCTGGAGGCTCAGCTTCCTGGACGTGTTAGGGTGGAACCGTCAGTCTTGCCGGACAGAGACTCAGGAGATAAAGATTTAGGTATGGATATAGGGACTTGTGGTATCACTCTGGCTGGCACTGGGAGTAGGGTTCCAGCATCAGCCAGAAGTGATTCGAAAGAAGGGAGTGTGTGTGTGCGCTTATGTATATATGTTTGATTGCATATCCACTGCCAACCAATGGGTGAGTGAAATGGGCCATCCATCCGATCAACTGTGTTTAGGGGGCACATTGTTATAAATCTTGGAAGATTTCCCGCTTCTGTTAAAAAAATTGTCTGCAACTTTCTTTGTGGTGTGATGGGATGAGGGTTTGAAGGCACATGTTAGACTTCTTGCTGCACTGTCGCTCTTCTGGTCTGTTGTGGAAATATTGATGTAGCTACCCTGTCACTGTGCTTATACCAATTAACTACTGGGCTGACAGGTTGTCTCCAATGACTAAACACGCTGTTTTGAGCCTGGCAGAGGCCTCGAGCCTCAAGACATGCCAAGGAATAGGCATCTTTCTGATATCCATTTCTATTTTACCTGTGTTGCCTCTGATCTTGGCAAAGTGTATATGTCCTGAGATATATATGGTGCAAGAGTAAATAATAGGGGATACCTTTTTTTTTCCTCTAAATGCTGGTTTAACAACTTTGGAAAATTGAAGTTTTTTCTGCAATTGCAGAATTAGGTATAGGATAGCAGTGCAGACTCCAGTGCTGCTCTCTTGTGCACCTCTAGCTTGCTGCAGGAGAGGAAACCAGTGCAGAGTCCTAAAATGTTCAGTTTCTCTGATGCCTGTGATGACTGTCTGTACTGTTGCCTTGAACGCTAGCTGTGGTGGTAGCAGTCTTATAATGTGTACAGTCATCTCATTAGACTTGGGAGGCATGTGGCAATGGATTAGTTTTAAATGGCTGAAGCTGAGACTATCTCCAGTCTTTCACTCAGAGACAAAGATATTGGACCTGTTTATGAATCACCTCCTGAGCCACTGCAAATTTCAGCCTAGCTGATTAAGATAAATTGATCTGACTTTGGTTTATTCTATTACACTAGGTTTCAAACCTTCATGGGAGAGAGGTCCAGATAGCTGGGGGGAGTCATAGGAACAGCTCTATCTAATTTTTAATCCAGTTACTAGGTATCTATCCACAGCAGCAGTAATACTGGAACCAGCATTCAAAAGCTGAATGCTGTTCAAGCACATCTGTTTTATTTCCTGTAGCAATGTGTTGACCCACAAATTAGCCATATGGCAGTTGAGAACGCAATTGCTGGCAGTGAAGTTTGTTGTTTCTGGTGGTAGTATGAATTGAAGACATTCTCTTCTGAATCCTGCAGATTGCTGTCATAGTTGTGGTGACACAGCTGTTTGGGCTGGGCTGTGATCCAGTCTGGGGGCTCAATCTACCTTGATGCCTTTTGGAAAGAGGGGACGCAAGGTTTTACTTTCACGGTTTGTTCAGCTTCCTGATTGGGTTCGTGGCAAATGTTGTGGCAGTTCATGACCTAGCATGCTGCAGTTTACAGGTGAGAACAGAAGTGTTTTCAGAGTACACTGAAGGAGAGAACTTTGATAGCAGTACTAGGTTAAGTTAGTCTCAAACTGTGGTCTAAGACTGATGAATGATGATTGTTAACAGGTGATAATGTGGGCCATCATGATCACAAGTGAGCCTGTGATCCAGCTCTTATTTCCAGTGTGCCACGTGTCAGTGGTGCGGTGGATACTGGTATTGATTGAATTTGAAGTTGCTGTTGAGAGGTGAAAGCTTCCTAGGCTGTTGCTAATTTTCTCCTCTGTGTGGTAGCTACATCTTGAAAATCTAATTTTGTAAGTTACCGAAATAAAATTTTAGATGAAGGAAGAGTTTGGAAAAATTATAGTTCAGTTGACACAATTTGGCTTTACTGGGATGAAGACAACTGTGCAAAATCTTAAATAGATTTACTGTAAACAGAACTGAAATTACGTAATCGGGCTTATAGGTCACACTGAGAAGGCTGAGAAAAGTAAAGCAGTATAAACAAAATGATGGAGGAGGTAAATTTCCTGCTCTGTGTTTTGTTTTTCAGTTTAGTATAGTGTTAGTTAATTATGTGGGAGTAAAAAATCTTTACTTCTGCCTATCTGAAACTGTTACTCTAAGGAGAAGACTAGGAAAGTGACACCCTTCCTTGAATTATGTGAATTGTGTTGAGTCTTATTTTTGGAGTGACTTATAGGAGGCAAGGATTTAAGTTTGGTGACTGATAACATAGCACAAATAGTATGCTGCCTGGCCCTTTGTGCTTCTTGAGAGTTTGATGCAATGAAGGAATTTAATAGTTAAAGTTCCAGGTTATTGGAATTTTTTTGAAATAGTTATCTTTGCAATTGCCTCAGAACAAATCTTGCTCTTTTTAAAGAAAGAAGTCCTTAGGCTTTGAGCTGTTACTCATCATGTGATGATCAGATGAGAATGACCAACTTCCTGTGAAGTCTTCTGCATTTATTCTCATGTATGTTTCTTAGAATATACTATACAAAGGATGGTATTTCATAGCAGTATGAATACAGGCTGTCCTAGAAGTTTGTCAAGGGATGCATGCATACATATCAAAGGATTTGTTATGTAATGCTAACCTGCTCTCATTTAAGTAAATATTACTGCTTCATTATCTTACTAATTGGACTTGCAACAGGGGCTGGTCCCTGGGATCTTTTGTGAAGGTGACATCTGTGATAGTCTTTACTGGGTGAAAGTTAATGCACAGTGAAGAAGTCAGTAACGCTCTTTGTTGTATCAATTTTTTTTTTTTTTTAATTCAAATTTGTCTTGCTTTTGGTGCTTCTCTGGTCTTACGAGTTTGTTTTCCTGTCACCCGCTTTTTAAAATTAAGTGCCAAAATACTTAATTTTTATGTTTCCATTTAAAGGGCCAGACTTGTACTGTTTTCATTTACTTCCTTTGACAAAGCTACATGCAGTTTCTGATGAAGAGCAGTCAATGGTATATGTTTCAGGTATGATATTACAATAGGAAAAAGCTTCTTCCTGTGAATGCTAAACTTTGCAATGCCTTTTCAGGTATGTGCTTTGTGTACTTCTGTGTATAAGTACAGAGTCATCAGAAGTACTTTAACTTGTAATGGGACATTGAGGATTAGAGCACAGGATTTATGTTCTCCTGCTTAGATAAGCATACAGTATGAGATGAACAGTTTCAGGGGACTTGTTTCTAATGCAGGTACAGCATAGTTTTATCCAATCTGCGAGGTAAGCTGAATTTTTAATGTGGTCTCCAAAGTATGTTGAAGCATTAGAGATGTTCAGATCTTTTATAAGCTTAGAGGAGAACAGTTAAAATGAAGATTCGTTGTTTAAAGAAAAATGGAAATTGTTCTCACGACCTGGGCTTAGTGCGTGCGTTCCTGTGTACGTTCCTGGAAAAGCTTGGTGTTCTTAGCCTCCATTCTCCAGAATTTTGTAATTGTCTTCAAACATGAAGGACAATTTCTACAGTGACATCAGGTCCAGCAAACACGTCTGTGGGTGACTAACTCTAGTAAAATTATGTACAGAATATGTCCAGCAGTTATAAACTCTGAGGAAATCCTGCTCTCTGTTTTTGGAGTAGCATGGTTACCCTTCAAAAATACCTGAATAGTTCACTGAATATTGCTAAACTGGCTGTACAGCTCTGTTAAATATCTCTGAATGAATTTTGTAGCTAGCATAGTTCAAGTCAGGTGATGTCAGATCATTATACTCTGCATTCTGGTAAGAAAGCAGTGGTCCTAAATGACAGAAATTGATTCAGTCTGGGAAGTGTTCTTCCACTTCTGTGTTTGTGAGGAGAATGTCAACAACATTGTTTTCCCTTGAGTAGGGCATGGAGACCATAACGCTTATAGTTTAGTTCTTTAACTTAAATTCCTGGTACGTATCTAAATTTCGTTATGCAAATAAATATTTTCTTTCTGCTAGCATAAATTCATTATTTTTTATTTAAAACTTCTTGGCTCTTCTGAACAGTCAAGACTTGCTCCCCGAGGCTGCATCAAGAAGCTGTTGGCTTTAATCTGGCCTTGGGAGGCCTTATCAGTGTTAGCGTTGACTTTTTATACTAACGCACTGAAAATCTTAGTGCTGCTTATTTGTCAGTACAGGTGAACTAATACGAATTATGACAGCTTTTTCCAGAAGGTCTATGGAGTGTGCACTGCAGCATCACCTTACTCATATGCCTGGTCCTTAGAGGAACGAAAAGTTAGTTGAAGCAATCAGTAGATTTGCTATATTGAGGAAAAAACCCAGTATTTTTATTGAATGAGTGGCACTGATCTCAGCATTATTTCTAGTTCCTATTTAGTCTTTAATCATGTCAAAGCAGAAGCTCTGGCTTATGCTTTTGTATCTTTAAGAAGCACAGGTTTTTGTATTGAACCTCAGATGGAAGACAACAGGTACGTTTGCAGCATTCACTTGGATGGTCACGTGACTGGGCGCAGCGCCGTGCCATGCACCTCTTCTTTTCTGATATATTCATCTTAGAAAAACTTTTTGTGGAGGCTGAGGCTGTGGGGAACTGCAAACAGAAACACTTCTGAAATTCTCATTCTTTTCTAAAAGATCTGCTTAGGCAAGAATGAATTTCTGGATGTCCTGTTGTAGGAGGCAAGAGAAGGATCCCTTTCGGCTTCATAATGTGTGTGTTTTGTTTGTCTTCAATCTACAGGAATATCTGCTAAAGGAAACTTAAGAACAAGGTATTTGCCAAAGTATCAAAAAAGTGAAACTAAGCTAACGGTGCCTGTAGCTGCTGCTTCTGTTTCTATGGATCCTATTAAAAGCACCGGAGATACGACAGGGCAACAAGTATGTAAAGGCTAATTTTTCTTGTTCCAAAGAGTGTGTATAGTAAAAAATGACAGAAGATATTCAGATTGAAAACTGCTAAACAATCTTACAATGCTACCATTCTTGCAAACTTTTATATTTTGTTTTTTTGCCGACTTTTGCCATAGCGACTTGCTGGCAAAAATTACTTTGCCACTGAAACGATCTGCCAGGAAAACAAAGGCTAAAAGGCTAATTTATTTAAATGACATAAAACTGGGACGATATAAAAAAAGGTCGGTAGATTAGGATGGCTTTGAGTAGCCCCTGAACTATATGTTACTTATCAAAGACAGAGGAATTAGTGTTTCCGTCTACTCCATTTCACTGCCCTAGTCATATCTCTTGGGCAGGATTGTAAAATTCTTCTCAAAGACCTTTTTGCTGTTGTCACTTCTGCTAGCAATGCAAAAATCACTTTCCGTGTTTTGACAATAAATGTTAAAATGCAGCTGAGTGATAGGAGCAACTTTGTTAGCTGATGTTATCATTGACTCAGCTTAGTGAATTGTCTAGTCTACTCCTGTGACAAGAAGTGATGGTTTTCCTAGTTTACTGTGTTAGAAGTTTCAAAGCAGTGAGTGTGCCTTTGAAATGCTGTTCTGTGTTCTGGTAGGTAATACCAGAACCTACCTGTACCTACAGGCACAGAACCTGTAATATTTGGGAATCCGTTGAGAGAGGCTATTTTTGTCACGTGATTTGGATAGTACAGTGACTATTCAAGTCACTGAAATACTGTTAAGTCCCCTGTGTAGTAGTCATCTAGAGCAATAGCGTAAGTCACTAAGGTTTTGTATCTTTGCACTTCCAAGCAGTATCTGAAACTTTGGGCTCTACTCTTTTGCTCTGCTGTCATGCTGTCTGAAACTTTGGGCTCTACTCTTTTGCTCTGCTATTATGCTGTCTGAAACTTTGGGCTCTACTCTTTTGCTCTGCTATTGTGCAGTTAAATCTTGTTTTTTGTCTTGGTGAAGATGTTCTTCTGTGTACTGCGTAAATGCCCTGTTGCCTCACATGCTCGTTCAAAAGTCTGATGTAGAAATAGATCATTCGAGCCTTGTTAGTTTGACAGTGTCATTGCCCTTCCTTCAGCAGTTCTCTACAGCACGATATGCTAATATCTAGTATTCATATTTAAGGCCCTTCCTGGCCCTCTCCCTTTTTGTTACTCTGCCTTTCAGTACTTGCTTTTAGGATGTTGGTAGGTACCTCCACTTTACAAATAACTGTTCTTAAGATCCATGTGGGGAAATTTCACAAGTAACCGGCATTATACAGAATTTTTATATGGAAGCATCTCTTCATAAACATCTACAAGGCCTCTGTTTCATAGGTGCCTTCGAATCTCACTTTAAAATCTTTTTATTGTATTGTGTGTAAGATATCTCCCAGTGATTGGCTGGTAGGTGTGTGTTACTTGTTTTGTTCAGAAAAGGTTTCCTCCTTTTTCCATGTGGAGCTGCTGGGATAGTCTCTTTTGTTCTTATACAAAGCCTGACATACTAGATCTTGATTTGAAACTCAGGTGTACTTTTATAATACTGACAATAAAATGGGTTCCAGGTTAGCTGTTTCTCTTTTCTATCTTTTTTAAATCTTTTTACTCTGAAGAACTGTAAACTGTTGTGCTGCCAGGTGTCTCATCAGTATGATTTACCAGAATGCCCTATTGAAGGGAATGGATTGAGTTTCACTCTAGTATGAATTCTAGCAGAACTGATTTACCTTTTCCTCATTCAGATAGACTTGACTGCCACATAGAAGTTTAAGAGAGTTTTCGAGAAGACTTCAAAAAGGTCTTGTTAGCTCTAAAATTTTTCTGATACTTTTAATAAATCAGTGGTGTGCTAAACTGATCTTGGCTAAAATTTCCCATCATCCTGCTTGCTGTTTAACAGAACCTGTCCGCTTCTTCCAAGTAGATTGTCATCTTCTAGGGTGCAGTTTATAAAGTGAGAGTATTTTCCACTTATACAGGATGTTTAATCTAGAAACCTACTGAGTTAGGGAGTGGTGTTCTAGCCTAAGATGTGTAGAAAGTACAGAAATCTGGACAAATGAGACATTATAGTCTTGGCTTCTGTCTCACTTATCTTGTTTTTTAGAGTGGAGCTGTTGCTATGAGTAATTCCACAGCTCATTTTTGACATTTGTAGTGGTACAAACCTACCTCTAAAAATTTGTGTGCGCCCTCTGTCAGTACCTGTGGGTGATACAGAAGAACACAGACTATCTTTTCAGATTTTCTTCTTCATCCCACAAATCTGTTTGAGAATATGTGTATGGATTTGGGGAATGACTTGAGGAGTCTGTACAGAACCTTCTGTAAAAATCTGCCTCAGGAATAGGATCAAGCTTCTGTTTTCTTTTTTTTTATGAGTTAAAAGTGACTTTTTTTTAAGAAGTCTTGTCACCTATCTGTTAAAAACCTCTTCAACCGTTTTTTGACTGGGAAACGGAAACCTTCAAATATATATTTAGTTGAAGTTAAATTATATGATAAGTTTTTCTTTTTGTGTTTATGACTGTAAATAGTGTATGTTTGGGAAGGAAACTGTGAAAGCAAATTTCTCCTTGAAAAGCACTGAAGAAGTTTAATTTGCCTTGTGAAACTCTTATTTTCTAAGGAAACTGTTTGTTTAAAAAAAAAAAAGTGTACTGAAGGGCCATGAGGGGATAACATCCTTTTGTATAAAATCGTTACTTCTGTCTTTCAGAAGCTGCATAGTACTTAATTGTTTCAAACCACTGTTCACGCAATTAGCTAGGAATGGAAGGGGGTGCATCCTCTCTGATATGTGTAGATCAGCTGCCATTACTGGTAATGAGGGGAGAGAAGCCCAGTGTTTGCTTTGTATGCTCAGGGGTTATTCTGTGCTGCATTGTGTTAACTTGTCTGAGTTATTTGAGGCCATTGGGGTAGCATTCTGCTATCTCCTATTAAGCACTGTATGCACTCAGTGATATTTAATAGGTTTGAAAGTGTCTAAACTGAAGATAAACAAGCCAGATTAAGTGGAAATATTTAAATTCACCGAAACCTTGGGCAGACTAGCTTAGGTGTTTCTGTTCCTTTCATCTTGAAATTCTTCTTTTGTACCTATCACTAGCACTGGAGTACTGAGTCACTGACTACGGAAGTTTTTGGAAAATTAAAGAGATTTAGAACTAAGAAGGATTCCCACATGGAAACACCCAAAATAGATCGTGACAATAACCATTATAATACAAGGGACTGTTACAAACATGAACTGCAATATGCCCTCTAGTGGACATTGGTAGCAAATATTGTGGTTTTCAGTATGATAAAGGAATGCATTAAAAGAGCTAAGCATTATTAATGTAATTATTAAATAATAGTCATTAATTATTATTTTATATTAGTATAAAATATTAATATATATTTTATATTTAAATCATTATTAGATAATAATTAAGTGTATTAAAAATCTTTTTGAGAAGAAAAGTGTGTTAAGGTGGTAAATATGTGTCTAAATAATGCGGTAAAAAGGGCTATGTAGTTTTCTGTGTATTAAAAACTCTTTTGAACTAAAGACTTACTTTCTGCTAACAATGTATTGTATTTCTTTTTTGTGATTTTTATATGTTGTTTATGAATGCTAAAGCAAAATGTTTTTTCGTGCTCTTTGTTTTCGGATCCCGTTATAATAAAATTCTGATCCTGAACTGGATATCTCTGCACTAGATTCCCAAGTCAGAAGTGGCAGTGATATTTTTATTATATATGAAGCAGTGAATTACACAGGTCTTGAAATTTTACCCAACATGTTTAGTATTGAAGCAAGCAACTTAATTTACAAGCCTTCTAAAAAAATTTCTCCACAATTTGGTAATTTGTTTCATTGAACTGTACTTACAGTTAGAAAATATGCACTCTATTTCCAGTTGGAATTTATCTGCCTTCATCTTCTAATTATTCAGTTTGAAATGCTTTTAATATCTTATGAAATGCTTGTTCTCCTTTAAAAATACTTTCTAAAGCATAGATTTCAATTTTCAGGTCACTAATGAAGGCGGAATGAAGAGTGCTTCTTTAAAGGATTTATGTCCTGAGGACAAGAGACGCATTGCAAACTTAATTAAAGAACTTGCTAGGTAAGAATAAGTATCACCTGAAAATGCATTATGTTTAAGGGCAGTTATTCTTCTAACTAACATCAAGCAATGTAGAATTCTATAATGGAACCTTATATTTGCGTAAGTTAATTTTTCTTGTGGGAAGAGGTATGAGCAATGAAGTGGCCAGATACATTTTCCTTGCTTACTGATCAAAAAAACCCCAAAACAATATGAAAACAAGAGGTCATTTTGTAACCTGTTGTAGTTCATCCATATAAACCTAGTTACGGGGCTAGAGTTTTGTTTGCTGCTCATATTGTTTGCTTTATATAAATATATATTGTCTTTCATAAACGACAAACTGTTGGTACGAAACTTGTAGTGCTTATTTGTTAGGAGTGAGCTTTTATTTGGAACCCCACATTAAAAGTGGATCAGTGAAGTTGTGGCTAATCTGTATGTATCCGTTTGTGCGCGTACAGAGTGGCAGAGTTCAGTGTGATTTTAATTTACTTTGCCCATCTTCACTTATTCTGCTGTGTTTAATTTCTTCAAGTTCCCCCTGTTCTTTGAGAGGAGAGACTGAAGTCTCAGCTTTAGAAAAAAGTTGTTTGTGAGTTTCATTGCAGTGCTAGCTGCGTTCACGAAGGTAAGTGATATGAAAGATAGGTTGAATGAGAGTGGGGAGTTCCCCCTCCGTGTTCTTTACCCTTCAGAATTTCTGCAAATCTGCTTCTTATGTAATGGTTGTAATGCTGAGAAAGGGCACAGGGGACCTTTGTAGGCTTTTTCACAACACTTAAGGACATTACCTTGTGAAGTCAGATCAGATCCTAAGAATTTTTAAAGGTACAGTTTTTTTCTAGAACAAAATACAATTTTTAAGATATGCTTTTTGTCATAGATTTCATACATATACATTAATTGGCATGCAATACCATTCTCTTTTTTTTTTTTTTTTCTTTATATTGGAAAACTGGGGCAGAAAAGTTGACTTGCTTATCAAGGTCGTGGAACAAGTCACTGGTGCAGCCGGGAATATTTTCTCTCTGGTTATCCTCATCCAGTGGACCATTTTGCCTGCTAATAGTTTACACCAATATAGGATTTCTTGTAATACAGTATTTCAGTCATTTCTGAAGTTCGTCATGCTTCTAACTCAATTTTATCTTGCCTCATGTGTTAGAAGACGTCTAGTTAAGAATGTCATAAAGAGTAGATGGCTGAGAAGCCTGGTTACAAATTGTCAAATGTTGAAGATATTCGGACATTGTTGCCACTGTTGATACATAGAGCTATAGTCTAATATTAAAAAGAACATTTTATTACATTGTTCCTCATAATATACTGCTCTCCAGTGAATACTAGTACGCTAACTCATTTGAGCATGGGATTCCTCTTAAATCTCAGATGCTGTGATTTTTCCCTGAGGACAGTTTGATATTTTTGCCTGACATTTCTTTGAAGAGAAATAGAAGGTGCAGCAACATTAATTTCGGAAAGTAAAATTAGTGGAACACTATTATTTTATACTTAGTTCTCTTTTATTTTTAAACCTAATCATATTTTTATTGGATGTAATTAAAAGTCCTTTGCAGAGTAATAGGGAAGTTAAACTTTAATTCTGCTCACCTCGTCACTTTTTAAAAAACTCTCCATAATTTTCATGTCTAGTTGGGCAATGATAGAGGGTTTTTTACATGCAGTAGAACATTTTCTGCTATTTCAGAGAATAAAAAGAACCAGCTTAATGCGGAAAGCTTTCCTGGAAGACTGTCCTGCAGTAAATATTTGGAATAGTAAAGATATCACTTGACCAGAGCTATACTTCACCGGTCCTTATTTTGCTACCATTTATGAATGAAAATAATGGTAGCTGGGACTAATTCCTGCACATTTATTACAAATAGTCAATAACTACCTGCATCAAGGCAGTTGTAAAGTGATAAAATTCTGTCTGCATGGAAATCCATGGCAAAATATGATTAACTCCTAGGGCTTGAATTTCAACCACGTTTTGCTTGAGCAGTTCAGGATATTGGCCTTTCCTCTGACTTCAGTGACTGCTGAAAGAGAGCTAATGTGCTTTCCTTTCGCTTCCTATTTTTTCTCTCTTCTTCCAACTCTCATTTCCAATGCAGTTTGGAATATTGGTAAAGTATGCACCTGTGCATCAGTTAATATGCTGAAGTGTGAGACTTTGCCTTGGTGTGAATAAATTCTAATGCTAGCTATGTTATTATCTTCTCCTTTGCAAAATGCCAGTTGCTGTGCTTGACTCTGATGTGCTGCTGCTGGGTATTCCAGTGGCTGACATCACATTAGCAGTTAGAGACTTGAGGAAATTGCGTTTTGAGACTGAGTCGAAAGAAAGGACTCAGCTGTATCCTTTCTGATCCTCCTTTCTAGGCTAAATCTTAGTTTTTGCTCTGTGGTGTCACCTGTAAATCTAACCATTATTTTGTCTATCTTTGAAAATATCCAGTCTGTCTTGCCTCTTAAGGTGAAAAGAGACAAACTGGATCTAAACTTTAAAAGACTTCAATATCGTAGACGTTATTTTTTTTTGATTGTGCCAGTGGGTTCTTTTCAGATTGTTTGTTTGTAGTGTGATTTCTGGGCATAATGAGTCATGCCCATGAATTCTGAAGTGCTTTGTGTGTAAACGGGGAAGTTTTGAGTGTGACTAGCCATGATTTTGAGAAATAACCGGCACAGCACCTTCATGTTTTCAACAGGTGCTGCTAATGTGGTGGTGAAAGTGGCAGGTATAGTAAGAACGACTTCTAATTATTTCTCTACATACAGGGTAGTCTTAAGAGGCAAAAGAAGACTTTCTCTGAGCTTTTGTTACGGCAGGATACTCCTGAAACGGTTATCAGCTTATGTAATGAAATGAGTAGTGACATGGTGAGGCCACTGAAAGATTTCTACTCTTGTTCTCTGTGTCGGGACACATTAGGCTCTTCCAAGAGGGAGCAGTGCAAGGTCCCCTGGGACCTAGCCAGTTGACTGTTACGCATTAATGAATTGCTAAACACCATATTGAGAGTGGTTACAAGGTATTCTGGAGTGAAATGTTTTAAAAGCGATAGGCAAATTTTGAGACCCCTTTTCTCCTCAGCGTTTAGTTGAATGGAAAGGATTATAACTTTGCAGAATGTGAGTACATTTGTGTGCATTCACCTGATGCCTAACTGTGACATATAGCTATGGTATTTTATGACTTTCTGGCTCCTACTATGACATGTACGGCATGAATACTTCTTCCTTCTCTGCACAGTTAAAGTACAGCTCAACTTTCTCTTCAATGAATGGAGGCAAGTGATAAAAGTAAACTTTCATGAACCATTTTGCTTTTAGTGATGAGAAGTGGTATCTAACTTTATCTTCTCTGAAGTAAGAAAGAATACTTGGAGAAACACGACTCTATCATCTTTGCAAATCTACAGAAGGAATTTAGATAGAAAGATATAATCCCTGTTTCTGCCTGAGGGAGGGAGTGATTGTCCTTTTTGAAATGAAATGCAATGTGTTTTTTTTTTTTTTTTTTGCTGTCAAACAAAAAACAAAGACCAGTGCCTGCCCGGGATGACTTGTACCTGGCAGCTGGCAAAACAACCTTTAGATGGACCTTTGCTTCTCACTGAGAGAATGCTTCCTCCTTCCCAAGACGTTGGACTCCCAAACTCCTCCTAGGGTGCTGGCACTCTGGGAGCTTGCCTACCAGCATTGCTTTGTGTAAACTTTGTTGCCTGGTACCAATATGAAATTGACCAACTCAGACTGAAATTTTCTGACAAAAAGTGAAAACAAAAGTTTGCTCTGATTACAAAATGGAGAAACTGATATGAAGGAGGGCAGTAAAGCTATTGGAGCGTGTATCTGTTAAGTGTTTTACTCGCAGCCCTTAGGCTGTTTGAAGGACAGCTTTCTTGTGGAAGCCTATTTTACAAATCTGCAGTTCTTGGCTTCTGGGGCTGCATTCTCTCCTGGGTTGTGCTACCTCATATTTAAGCATATTGTTACCTGTTTCTCGAACTTCAATGTAAAAGACTGTGCGCGCTCGCGCTATTTTAGGAGAGAATATTGTGCTGCAGTTCTGTTAACTGATCAGGCAGCGAGACTGCAAATGAGACATTCCTAAGCACATCTGAAAATTACTTCTTGTTGACAGGTAAAGCAGGCCTAGGATTATTTCGTCACTAATCACACTTACCTTTTGTGCTTAAAAAGTCATTTATAGCTATAAGTTCATGCTGTGAGATCTAGTTTTATATTGCTTTGCAAGCTGCATATCATAAAATGTACCCTTTGTGCAGCAGTTTTGGTTATGTTTGGGGATTGCTCAGGCTTTTTTCTTTTTTTTGGTTTTTGTTTTTTTATTTATGCATTTTACTCAAGCGTCATGGTCAGTCTGTATCAGACTTGTGAAAAGCAATCTTAGACAACACATTCTACCACTCTCCTCCCTGCAGTGCCAGTATTAAATGTCATTTTATTGCCCCATTTTTTTGCCAGAGGCATGTTGCGATCAACTCTGGAGTGAAGACTTTCTCTTTCGTTTCCTTTGGAGCACATCTTTCACTTGCAATACCTGATAGTGTTCCATGGCTCTGGTGCGGGGTGGTCTCTGCCTGATGTCCTGATCTTGGTCCTGTTTCCATTTCTTTCTGTTATTCTGACTGTTACATCTGCTATCCTGTGCTTAGGATGCAAAAGTGGTGGTTTTCAAGACTGGCCTCCAAACTATTCTGTCTTAGTTAGCTACTCGGCAGATTAATGTAAGCTGAGTGCTCCCTAAAAGGTAAATGTTTCCTGTGAGTATAGCACTGCTTAGTGAGGTTCCTAGTTTTTGCATCTTTGCTTTTTGTTTGTTTGTTGTCCTCTCTCTTTTGTTCAGTCACAGTTCACACTGAATTCAGATTTATCTTGTTTAAAGATTGGTTTTTGCTGGCATTTTTAGGAAGTAGAAATTGTTATTTTTAAATTATTTTATCGGGTCGTTTTTTCTTTTGTAAAATATGTAAGCTCTTTCAGGCAGGAGTTACTTTTGAGGTTTTGTCCCTTGTGTAGTGTTCATGTTGATAATATCATGGCTGTTTCTTACGCATGCCAGTTTTTATTAGACAGAAAACTTCAAGTGCTGTTGACCTGTGCAGTGCTTCAAAAATTGTACCTGGAGAGCATCAATCCTCCTAACTCATTGGAATGACTTGGTGACGTCAGCAAACTTGATCATCAAGTCCTTCAGCTCATACAGTCAGAACTACAGGTAGCAGTAGAGTGCTCAGGAGCACACCATAAGGAATATAACTGATAAATGAGGAATTCCTTTGAACCCTAAGACTGATGTCATAGGAGGATTTTTTGTCCATATATCCGCATCATAATTTTTTCTTTTTCTGCAGAGGCTCCTGTAAAATAAAATTAAGACTTTCATTTAAATGCATCTAATATCACTTCATCTTGTAAGTGTGCATATACAATGAATCTAGAACAAAGATTGTGTGTGTCTTATGCCACAAGATAGCTGAATATAAATTGTAAATTGCATGCAAGGAAACATTGCAGACACTGAACAGCAGGAAGAGTTCTAATGATTTGTCATCTTCGCGCTCAGCCCTCCGTTTTCTCCTGTGAACAATGGCAACAGAGCCAAACACAGAAACATTGCGCAAGGAAGGGATTGTGTCCTGTGTAGCTGGGATGCCTTCTTTCTGTTAATGCTATTTTCTGACCACGAGCAGATGAAAAGCTGGCAAAAATCCTTTCCAAGAGCATTGTGAGCCTTGTAATATTTCTTTTTATCAACAGTCAAATCTTTCCTTGTTCTGCTAAAAAGTGTCTCTTCTTTACTGCCTGAAGACAAAGGAATAAGTATGTGTGTGTATATATAAAAAACAAAACAAAAAACCCCACTTAACTGAGCTTTGTATAGGATGTGACATAAATCCAGCATAATCTGATGACATTGTTGTATTCCTTTTCTCTAACTTCCTTTTGTCACCTCCTGTGAATAACTGTCTTCTAACTGCCTGCCCTTTATGGGCTGTCTCCTGCTTTGTGATACATAAGCACATATTGCCACATTTCTTCTAAGATCACTTACTGTTCTCAGTCATTTACTGCATAAGATATGTGGCACAATATATTCGTGTATCTGGGAGTATGACAACTTGCTGTGGTCTGTGCTAAGTACAGAAACAGCATGTGTACGTGATACAGACTGATGCAAATAGCAAAACACAGAATCTAGAGATGGGCAAGGCCTGCTAGGTTTCGTCCAATTCCTTTAATGCTCAGTTATTTCTTAAGGTATGTTTTCCTGTACTGTTCTTTGATTTTAATATTCTAAGGCACCAGCACAGCCCAGTGTTTCACTTGTCCTGGATCTTTTCCTGATGCAGTATCGCTCCTGCATTTAGTAAGCAAGCATCCTCCCTTGTGTAGTGCCCTGGAGACAATACTTGTCCTCTTTCTCTTCTGATTTTTTTCCCCCCCTAATCCTGCTTCCTTCCTGTCTTTCATCTCTGCAGTCATTGCTGTCTTCATTGTCTTTGTCTAGTTGATGGCTTTCATTTTTTCTTCTCAACTCGTTTTTTACTCTAAGAAACAAGAAACATTCTTGCATCTTTTGCTAATTATATATGAGGGTATGCCTTACACTGCTGTAGCCATGTAGCTGATGGCTCTAGATTCAGAGAGAGCAAACTGGTGTTGGATAGATGCAAAAATCTGTGTCTGCAGCCTCTGGCATGTTTACTGTACCTGTAACTGCATCCAGGTAGTAAGGATGGATGATTGCTGACTTTCAAAAGCTTGTTTGTTGCCTGCTCAGGTACACGAGAGCATAGGTGTTGAGATGGATAGAGTTATACAGCTGTTTCCCTTTTCATTATTTTATTTTCTGATGTGTCCTCTCCCCTTTCGACAGCCTTTCAGAGGGTAGAAGAGGGCCTAGGAATGACTCGACTAACTGCCAGAAGACAGGATTGTAAACTATGCCATTGGCATATGAATGGTGTAATGTTTTGATATTAAATCTATGTCTTTTCTTGTAACTGAGAAATTTTCCAATTAACAGTTTCTACTGAGCTTTCAAACTGCCTTAATTTACAGAATCTAATAATATATATATATATTTTTTTTGCCTCCAAGTTTGTAGAGAAAGAGTATGAGTTTCAGTATTATTTGTTTTCAACTTCACGTAGTCTGAGCTGTTCTGGAAAGGGCTGCAGGTCAATCTTAAAGTCAGAGGCTATTACCTGTCCATATCTTACCCCAGAGTGCTGACCCAATTGTTGTATTTATGTTTTTTCCACTGGAATGTCAAAACACATCTGTGCCTTTCCGAAGGGAAAAGTCATGATGTCAAATGGATGGTTTAGTCCCTGAATGGGGTTCTCTGTTAAGAATGTCAGTGGGTTTGAAAGGATAAATGGAAGGCATGATCCAATGCACATATTTTTCTACTCTTTTCCTCTTCCTGTAGGATTGTCCCATTTAAAGGAAGTTAAAATTTGAAATTTTCTGAAAGTTGTACTGCTTTGGTCTCCTGTCAGTTATGTTGTGGCAGCTATTTGATGAACATAAAAGACTACATTTTAAGAGCCTTCAACAGCAGGAACCGCCTAAGTGCAGAACAGTAATAATTATTAGTCTAAGCTCATTACTTAGTGTTTTTGCAGAGCTTGTATGGAACTGTGATTTCTAAGCCATGTTTCTAGCGTAGTTATGGGATCGTCTGTTACATTATGGTCATCTTGCCTACGTGATTCCAGAATAATTGTTTTTACAGCCTCCTCTTGAAGTGCAGAATAAATGATCATTGTAAGCCTTTTTCATATTGTCATCTTTTAATCTTGATCCAATTATTTACACCAAGCAGCAAGATGCAGGATGCCACAGCCCAGACAAAAAGTAAAATTTACACTTACAGCCTGATGTTTTAAGATGCCTAGGAGATGACATAGACTGTTCTGTTTGGAGAAAGTTAACAAGAAGAATGATTCTTTTCTTGGACTTGTATTTGCAAGTAAATGTGCCAGGACACGTTTGCTTAGAGCCTAAGATCAAGAAAAATTTTTAAATTTCTTTCCTATCTCAACAGCTAAACTTTACCATTTGTGCTTTCTGTGTACATGCCCTAGGCTTGTATAGGTTCCATGGCTGCAGGAAAACAGACTGCACAAATCTAGTTGTGGGTTCAGGTCCTTACTTTGTAGTTCCATGCAGCTTGTTAACATGCGTGTACTCTAGCGATACCAGTGTCTTGGGAGAAAAAAAAAAAATTCTTATATAAAGTCATATGCAGCTTCCAGGCTAATATAATAAAATCATGTGAGAAACTAACCTGTTTAAGTGTGGAGAAGGTGAGATCCATTTAGCTAAATGGATCTTTTAGCTAAAAGCTGCAAAAGAGTTGGAAGTCAGGGACTGTGGTTATGGACCTATATTTTGTTTCACACTAACAGGGCCTTTGATTTCTCTCACCTTCTTTTCAGGGTAAGTGAAGAAAAGGAGGTGACTGAAGAACGGCTGAAAGCTGAGCAGGAGTCATTTGAGAAGAAGATCAGACAGCTAGAGGAACAGAATGAACTTATCATCAAGGAAAGGGAAGATATCCTTTAAAAAAAAATGTGTGCAAGGGTTCACTGAAATAAAAAGTGAACTACAGAGAAATAATTGTTCTAATTTATGGCAGAGAATAAATCTGCATGTGCTGCCATTCAAAAGCAATCAGAGAGATGACTTGTCAGCATGTGCTGCTGGTTCATTTGAGCTTAAAACTGCCATCCAGCTGTTCCTATGATCTTGTTTTGCTATGAAATAGATATTTGTCAAGTAAAAACAACAATAAGGAATTTATGCATTAAAATATGTGGGGTTTTTTCTTTTCTCTTTCTCTCCAATTAATCCTGTTAGGTTGTTGTAATTGAGGTCTAAAACTTCTCTTGCATGATATTCCAAGACTTTCTGTGTCTTCAGAGTAAGTTGTCTTCCTCCAGACATTTAAGCTGTGTATATATATACTAAGGAGTTTAGCCAGCTCAGACTTTTTTTTGTTTTTTTTTGTTCTTATATAGTTAGCTGATTTTCTCTTCTTGCAGATTGTGGCCACCCCTCCCTGCATACGTTTAGTGCCAGTCCTGGAATATAACATGCAGAAGTGGAGGTTGCAGGAATTACAATTTTCCTTCAGTGTGCTGTGACAGACCTTTGCAAAATGCTCTTGTTCATTTCTCTTCCAGATTTTTGGTACTGATGTTTTTTTGTTTCCTTCCTCAGAAGGATAGCAGTTGATTACAGTGAGGTATGAGATTGTTGCAACTACAGTAAAGGCAAATGTGTTGTGATTTATCTGGAGCAGTTATTTCAAGTAGGGAAGATGCTAATGCTATTTTAGAAAGCCTTGATGAAACCTTATGTGCTGTACTGTGTTCAGTCTTGCCTTATCCTTGTTCAAGAAAAAATGAATTCAGTGAGAAGTTGTGGGGAAGGACTACTCAATGTGATGGGTGGAATGGAGAACCCATTTTTTTGTTTCATGAGAAGGGACTAAAGCGTGTGTGTTTGTGTGTGGTATTTTTAAAACAGTGACTGGGCCATATAGAAGACTGAGATGGTAATGGAGTGAATAGGGACAGAGACAATGCTGAGACAAAAAGGAACTCTTCAAGCTATAGGCCAGTTTTGGAAGAGAAATAAGTGGAGATAGACAGTCTGCAGACTTAAATGTGAAGTTAGAGGAAGATTCCTGAAAATTAGAGCAATCATATTTCAAAGCTTGTGAACACTAGAAGGTTTTAAGGAGAAGCTGGGATTTTTTTGTTTGTTTCTTTTTTTTTAATAGAGCTTAGTTAGTCTGTGAAAGGGATTCAGTGATGTTTTGCCTCTGACCAGAGGATTGCCCTTGATGACCCAGGAGATCCCTTGTAGCACAGTGGCATTAATATTGATAGAAAGAACTTGGTCTGCTATTTGTACTAAATAATATACACATCAACAAGCTTAGCTGGGTATGGAATAGTTCCTGGAAAATATTTATTGTGATGTATTTAAGAGCCATCAGATGCAACTACAACTCTTTTTTGCATCAACTTCACTGAAGTCAGGATTTTATTGTATATTACAGTGCAAATTCAGTCAGCTTATGAATGTAGGTGGGATGTATGTTCCTGATTGATAATTTTTTTCTTAATATATGTACGTAAAGCTTTCACTAACTCATCTGAGGCTTATTTGGCTGCTGGGAAGTAACCATGCTTACTTTTTTTTTTTTTTTCCCTTCTTTATCAGAAATAGACATGCGTAAGCATGAATACTTTCTCAGGAGAAGTCTGGTAGGAATGGCAGAAGGTTAATGCATGCAGTTTTACACTTCATAAGATTCTCTAAAATGTAGAAATATAAAACAAGGATATAATTTAAAACAGTATACTTTTAAATGTAGGAGTACTTACCTATCATACATGAATGTTTCAAGATTCTTCACGTACTTCTGATCAGGTAATTACTGATCTCCTGAAGCTTGTTCCAGAGCCGAGGAACAGTACACTTTCCGAAGCTGAATGTAGATTCTGGTAATTTTAAATTCTCCTGAAATGTACGGATATCATTTGCAAGTGAGTTATCAGGAATGTAATAGCATAAGGAAAACCCGTCAAGTCTGGTAAAATCAATTCCACCTACCTCTGTGTTTTTTCCATAGAAAGCTAGTGCAATTAATTTTCTGTAAAACTACTTTATCTAGTCCAGTATTTAAAATTATCCTACAATAATAAATCAGTGCTTTTGACATAATGAGTGCAAATATCCAGCAAAGTGTAATTTCAACTTGGTAGAGGTCTAATTTGAATAACATTGGGAGCGTGTGTCTGTGTAAAAATGTTTTTCTTTGTTTGGTCTTAAGACTCTTGCAGCAAGGATACACTTTGTGCTTGAAATCCTTGCTTTGGAAGCAGAATTTCCTCATTTTGTTGTGGTTTGTTTCTTGAGAAGCTATATGGACCCATCCAGTTGAATTTAGGTATTTTATTAAACTAGAGCAGAAGCATGAGGAGGTGAAATAGATAGTGTGCAGTGGTCTCACTGTAGGGTTTTGTGTAATTGTACATTACTGAAAAAAGGATAGTACATATCTGCAGCCAAAGCTTACATATGCTTTAAACTGATCAGTGCTGTCTGGGTAGGGAACAACAACTAAAATTTCACAAAAACATGTAGTCAGTCATTTTCTTCTTTGAGATTGAAACTTTGAAACAGATTTGAGTAGTTCTTACTAGGGCATACAGTTGATAAAGGACAGTCCTGATGAGCACAGTGTGAATCTTAACTAGGCCAGCCCATTGTTAGGAATGCCAAGTACTTATTATCACAGAATTAAAGAGGAAAAAAAAAGGATTTCAAGTAGTCATCTGATCTACTCCTTTTCCTTAATGCAGTATCTTTAGGCCTGTCACAATACCTCCTTATACTCGTTCAAAAGTAGCTATTTTGGCTTAGCTTTTCATCTTGAGAGTCCACTTCAAACTAACTTAAAAAAAAGAAAACAAAAAAAAAACAAAAAAACCCCCCAAAACTCGAAACAAATCCAGCTTGAGCTAAAGTGTCTCAGTTACTTCCAAGAACAAAAGAGAGGATTAACTCTTTATTTTATCTGTGATAAACTCTTACAGTGCTTTTTTTTGTTTATTTGTTTTGAGAAGTTCTAGTGTTGCTGTTCTTTGGAGATGAGACCTTTAGTGGTGTGAAAGTGTGGGTGCAGTGATTATGCCTTTTGATCTTCTTACTAAAATCCACCCAAGTAGACCAAACTTATAAAAACTCTGGAAAAAATTCTGTAACGCGTGCTCTTATTCTTTTAACACAATCCACAATGAAAACGTTCTCTTCCCTATGTCCTGTGTCGCAACTTTGGCTTGTGACTGCTCTGGATTCTTCTGGACGCTGAAATAACTGCGTCCTGCCTGTGTTGTGTTTGTGGACTTGCACGTCTGGAAGAGGTGGCCTGATTCAAATGCAGCAGGGATGAAAATGGACCTGTGGAGGAGAGAGAATAGAGAGATCAAAGAGTTTTGGGATCAAACAGAGAAAGGGAAAGTGTTTTGGGCTGAATGGTGACAAAAGAGAAAAAAGTGGAAGCTGGGATGGGCAGATATGAGGATCTTTTAGACACGAGAATGAGAAAGTGGTGAAACGCTGAATCTTCTGGTATGGAAGGCTAAGCAGGAATCTGAGGGGAAAGTGTAAATAGAGGCTGAACTGTGGAAGTGAGAAGTAGAGCTTGGCTGAAAGAAAAGACTTGGGAGTGGGGGGGGGGAAAGGTTGAGCTGGATTTGGATTATGTGAAAGAAGTGAAGCATGTGGTTGATGAGTTTAGCAGAAGGTATTTGGATGAGGGGTCAGTGTTAAGGAAGAGACAGGGCGAAGGCAGGCTGTCTAAGGACTGTTGAAAGATTGAGAGACATCTGATAAAAACAGATGTGTCTGTTCAGTGTACAGTAGTGCTCTCCAAGCTTTGAAACTGAATTCAGGAGTGAGATCGTGGCAGAGCTCACCATGTGTAATCTACCTCCCTATCTTTCCAGTATCCTCTCTTAATAAGTCTATTACTTGCTTCTGTATCCCCAGATCGTAATGGATGCCTGTTGGTTGGCTGCACTGTGGTTTTAGAGGCAGTCTGAATACTGGCATTTTCTTTGGAGTGTTTGACTTGAAACTTCAGTGTCTGTCTAAGTTTTTTGCATGTTTCACGTGCATTTTCAGAAGAACGGAGAAGCACAGTGCTCCACATTGTGCTTATAGGCTAATGCACTGTCCCTCCTTCCACTTGTGCTTAGGAGCTGTTATGAAAAAAGCTTCTGGCTTTCATTCTTTCTGGCATATTTTCAAGCACCTATTATCAATATAGGTCCCACTATGACTTGATTTAAGAAACAAGGAATTATGTCTTAAGATGCCCCCAAACTGTCAATATAGAGATCTTAGTAAAGAAAAGGATAATAATGGGATTATTAAGAAACCAAGACTTCTGTTATTGCAAAGGCCGAAGAAATGTTCGTATGGTCTTTAGTCTTTCTTGTTATCACCATTAAGGATTTTTTCTCCAAATTTGATTTTATTGCATAAATGAAGAGGCAAAACCAGCCTGAACATTCTCTGAAGATTTATTATTTGGGGAAGATGCAACTTCTAAAAAAAACCTTTGTTGTTAAGTTCTAAGCTATATGAAGGAAGGTGTTTTGAAGTAGTATTTCCTTGTCCAAATTATCAGTTTAGGTAAAAGGAAGAAGAGATTCTGTTTACTGCAA